AGTCGAAGACCAGCAGGGAGTCGTAGGGGGGAGCTGTGGGGTCATTGTCGGCGGCTCGGAGGCCCTGGGTCACAGAGACACGGGGTGAGGGGTGGGGGACACGGGGGCGCCTGGGAGCGTTGGGGAGCAGGCCAGGAGGCTGAGCTTTGCATAGAGTAGGTTCTCAGTTAAGTGCGGCCTTGTCTAACTGAGGGGCCTCAGAGAACGGAGTGGGGCTGGGGTGTAGGGAAGGGGGAACAGGTGGCACGCTAGATGCTGGAGGCCACACCGATACCGTGAGGCGAGAGGGCTGGGTGGGGCCTGCGCCTGGGAGCAGCCCCTCCCCAGGGGGCAGACGGGTCGCGATCCCGTGTCTCTGCCACTTGGAATGTGGCCCTGAGGTGGCCACAAGTCAGAAGTCTCAAGTTGCGCCACGGTCACCGTCCCCGTGAACAAAACCGGGGACGCCCCAGGTGTTGCCAGAGCCCCTCCCCGTGCGCCCTGGCCCTCTCTCCTCCCGCCAGCAGCTGCGCTCTCCGCCCGAGGGGTCCTGTGGCCTCCTCCGGGACCGTGGGGGTGGTGGGTGCACACCCCCGCTCCTGAGCCCGTGGGGAGGGGCTCCCGCTGGCCCCGGGCGGTCCCCTCCCCGTGGGGAAAGGCTCCCGCTGGCCCCGCCCCGGGCCGTCCCCGTGGGGAGGGGCTCCCGCTGGCCCCGGGCGGTCACTGCGGGGTGGCCTGGGTGCCCACAGCGTCCGCTGGCTGCGACACACCTCACTGCCCAGCCCTGTCCTGGGAAGGGCACCCGTATTCACCCCTCCGTAAGGATGGTTTGAAGTTTCCATGTTTACTTTTCTCTAAGAATTATCCGAAATGGGCTTTTAATCCCAGATCAGGGGTTTTGAAATTTCATCACGTCCCGGGGAGTAAGTGCCGCCTGAGGCAGATCAGCTCTGGGGCAGTTAAAGAAATCTGACCTGCGGCTGGGACGTGACGCGTCTCAGGAGCGTCCTGAGACACCTTTGTGTCTCTGCGGAACCACCCCCTGGGCTGCGATCTGTGTAAGTCAGTTATTTGACGGTTAGATTCTGACACGGGCGGGGTACACACGTCGCCGGCCCCCCTTGAGGCGTCAGCGTTAGAGAGCAGACGGGGGGACACGCGGGGCCCCTGCGGTCACAGGGGCGCTGAGGACAGGGTGACTCCTGAGCCCCGGTCTGGATCTGTCCCCTCAGCCCGGCCTGGCCGCCCCACGCGGCGAGGGGCTGCGGCCTGTGCGCGGTGCCGGGGCCTTTTGCTCAGCGGAGCGGCCCTGCTCGGGCGGCCTCGCCCCCGTGCGGAGCACCCACCTCGGTGATGAAGTCCCCGATGTCTCCCGGGTGCGGCACCACGGGCCTGACCGGGTACTGAGGCTCGGCGCCCACGGGCCGCTCGTCCACCCGCCGCACCCCCGGGGCCTTGCTCAGCACGTGCTCCATGGACTCCGGCTGCTGCAGCTGGCTGAGGTCGTAGTCCTGGGGAGGGGCCGGGCGGGGGTACCAGCGGGGGCCGCGGGCAGGGGCGCCCAGCGCGCCTGCCGCCCCGACCCGTCACCCGGCCTGCCCTCCCCGCGAAGCCCGCTCCCCGAATTCATCCCAGTCCTGCCCGTGACCCCAGGCTGCCCTCGCCGGTCTGACGCTCCCCCAGGGCCCCGGGGACCGCACCCCGCCCCTGCCAGGACGCGCCTCCTTTGTTCCCGGGAACAGCCCGGGGCTGGGGCTCCCGTTCACCTGTCTTAAGGGGCCACTGAGCTCTAGTGGGGTGCACAGCCGCCCCAAGTTCCCCACGGCCAGCTCAGACCCAGAGTCCAGCCGGGCAGCTCCCTGGAGTCCACGCTCCCGGGCGCCCACGCGCCTCACCTGGTCCTCCTCGCCGCCCCCTTCCTCGTCGTACTTGAGGATGTTGTCACGCACGTCGTCCTCGGGGTCGATGAGCAGCTGCTTGGTGTGGCGTTCCTTCTCCCTCCGCTTCATCCACACCACGAACAGCAGGACCATGGCTGTGGGGGCAGGGGCCGCGCCGTGAGCAGGGGCGCATGCGCGTGTGAGCACGGGTGCGCATGCGTGGCTCAGCCGTACTCACTGAGCAGGATGGCGACGCAGATGAGGATGGCCACGATGGCGCTGGTGCCCAGACCGGCCGCCGCCACGGCGCCAACCGTGGTGCAGTCGCCGTTCTCGTCGCACGGGCACACCTTGACCTTGATAACGGACGTGTTGGACAGCGGAGGGTTCCCCGAGTCTGTGACGATGATGGGGACATCGTACATTCCAGCCTCCAGGTAGAGGATACGCAGGCTCAGCTGAGCATAGTCACCTGGCAGAGGGACAGGACAGGCTTCGTTCAGTCTGCAGCCAGCACTCCTTTACCCCAGGACTTCGAGGGGACAGAGAGTCCGACAGCACGAAAATCTAAAATATATTTGGTCCATGCACGCACGCACACACGTGCTAGATCGTTCCGTAGAGTGAAAAGATATTGGCAGTTCAAGAAAAGAGCAATTGCAACATGTAGGATGAAGAAATCACTTCCTTAATATATAAAGAGTTCTGCCAAATCAATTAGAAAAAAACCTCAAAGAAAATTAGGCAAGGGCATTGAACAATTAACGGAAGAAACAGCAAATGGCCAATGAATAGATGAAAAGAGGGCACTGGTAGTTAAGACATGAAAACGGAGACAATGATTTTGGCTAATATTGGGAAAATGCTCTTTAAAACTGACATTCGGGGCTCCCGGGTGGCTCAGTCAGTTAAGCGTTCGACTCTTGATTTCGGCTCAGGTCGTGATCTCATGGTTCATGGGATTGAGCCCTGGATTGGGGTCCTTGCTGACAGCATGGAGCCTGCTTGGGATTCTCTCTCTCTCCTCTCTCTCTCTCTCTCTCTGCCCCTCTCCCTATTGACACACTCTCTCTTTCAAAATAAACATAAAACATTTTCTAAAAACCAAAAAATAATGACATTCAGTGTTGGTGAGGGCTTGGGTAAGCAGGTGTTCTCTTGTACTCCTGGTCAAACTACAAATTGGTGTGACTTTTCCAGATGCATCCTCGGTGCTAGAAAATTTCCGAACCTGGATACCCCTTTATACAACAAATCCACGCCTAGGAAACTGCCCTCAGGAAATAGATTGGTCAGGGTCCCGCCAGTCAGTGCCGCGTGCAGGAAGCAGTCACAGACATGAGTGGCTGGGGCTGCAGGATGTTGATGGCCGTGCTCGTTCTAAGAGTGGGACTGCCTTCATGGCCCCCTCAGGGACGGACTGGAGCACGGCCAGCGTCCCCTGCCTCATGGGGGTCCGGTGGGGGGGGGCAGGGCTCCCGTCTCCACCGCTCACTCTTCCGTGGGCCCCCTTGGGGTGCTGCGCCCCAGATGTGTCCACTCTGCTGGTGCCGGAGGCGGGCTCACCGTTCAGGCGGGTGATGGTCCAGTTCTTCCGCACGGCAGCCGGGGCAAAGGGCAGCTCGAAGACATAGGGGCCAATGTTGGGGTCAACGTCGGCATCGGCCGCGGTGATGTTGATGGCGTTCAGGCTGGGCTTCTCACAGATCTGTGCCTCCTTGGGCAGCAGCTCGGGGGCGTTGTCATTGATGTCGATTAGATAGATCTGGAGGGTCCCGGTGCCGCTAGCAGGGGGGATCCCTGTGGGACAGGCACAGGGTGACTGTGCGGGGTTGCTCCTGATTCTCCACGACCACGGGCACACGATGATACACGTGGGACCCGCCCCAACCCCACCGCCCTACCCAGGGATGGATCCCCGGCCACATCCACAGCCCTGAACCTGCACCAACACCTGCTGTACAACACACACAACCACTCAGCTGTGGAGCTGCCAGTGTGTGCGTGCACACACGCAACACGTGTGCGCATGCACACACACGTGTGCACACATGCACGTGCAGTCGCCCACAGTACACACGCGCACGCAACACAACGTGTACACATGCACACGAACACATGCGCACATGCATGCACGCACATGCACACATGCAAACACACCCGTGCACACGTGCAACATGCACGCGCACACGTGTGCACACATGCATGTGCAGTCGCCCACAGCACACATGTGCACGCAACATGTACACATGCACACGCACACATGTGCACGCATGCACACATGCATGCACGTGCACACATGCAAACACACCCGTGCACACGCGCACGCACACACGCAACACGCACGCACACACACACGTATGCACACATGCATGTGCACAGTCGCCCACAGCACACACATGCACGCAACACATGTACACATGCACACACACATGCGCAATGCATGCACGATGTGCACGCGTGCACACACATGCACGTGCACACATGCAAACACCCGTGCACACGCGCTCACACACGCAACACGCATGCGCGCACACACGTGTGCACGCATGCATGTGCACAGTCGCCCACAGCACACAGCTGCATGCACACGCGTCCATGCACGCAACACAACGTGTACACATGTGCACACAACGCATACACGTGCACTCATGGATGCGCACACATGCAAATACACACGCCCATGCACACGTGCACGCACACACACACGTACGCGCACACACAAGTTGCCCACAGCGCTCACGCGCACGCACATGCCTGCACGCGCACGCGCGCGCGCACAGTTGCCCACAGCACTCACACAGTTGTCCACAGCACTCAACACGCACGCACGCGTGCACACGCACACGCGCAATGTGCACACACGCACATGCCCACCGTTGCCCACAGCGCTCACGCAGGGCTCTCCTGATGCGCGGCTGCAGACGGCGCTCACCAGCCGGGACCCACCCCTTCCGGGCCCCGTGCCGCCGGCACCCGCCTTCTCTCTCCCGAGCCTGGGCTCCTTGCGGCCAAGCCCGTCCTCCGTCCTAGGAGGCTGGGTGCAGCCTCCCCTTTTCGGGCTGCCCTCTACTTTCTGCTGCTTTGGCCGCGGGTTCATTTAAAACCACTTTCTAATCCGGCAGCTTGAGCTGCTGGAGGAGGGGCACCACCCCCAGCAGCGGGGCTGGCGCACCTCACGGTCAGCTTCCAGGGCCGGGCTTTCGCAGACCCCGAGGGTCAGGGAAGCCAGGAGGGAGGCCAGCAGGTGGTGACCGGGCCCCAGCTTTCACTTGCTGTGGGACGAGCCTTTGTGCGAGGGCTACTCTCGCTCCTGAAGCCTCAGCGGCACCACCGTCCTAGGACCCACCGGGCGTAGGTCTGCCTCAGGACCTTTGCACATGCTGCTGCCTAACTCTGGGACTCCCCTGAGACCCCATCTTCCCTTGGCTTGTTCCTTCTGGTCCCACAGGTCTTGGCCCCACGGCTCGGGAGCACAGCTGGAAGCCCTGGCCCCTCCCTCCCATGCCCTGCTTTGTTTTCTTCCAGAACTTGCTCCCTGAAATTCTCTGGCTGACTTGTTTCTCATTCGTCTCGTGAGGGCAAGAGACTGCTAAGTTGTCCACTAATATCCACTTCCCTGTTTGTCTTTAAAAGACCTGGAGCCCCAGATTTTATCTGGGATCGTCACTGCCCAGCCAGAAGACATATTTCTCAACATCCCTTGCAATGAAACGTGGCTTCGTGGCTAAGTCCTGGCCTTTACGAGCTGGGGGTGGAAGTCCTTAGAAGGGCAGAAATGTGTCCCTGCCTTTCTTGGTCTTCCTCCTGTCTGCCGGCATGTGGTCGTGACGGCTGGAGCACGGCAGCCATTGTGGACCGTGCTGTAGCTCGCTGAAGACACACAGGTGGCCAGAGTGAGCCTGCTTTCTCAAACCAGACCCCAGACCCACGGCTGCCGGCCTGCCTCCAGTCTTCTTTCACGTGGGAGAAAAGAAACCTCACTCACGCTGCGATTTCTATCACCGTTACGCGGCTGGACCTGGTTCTAGCTGACACACGGGCCCCTGGAATGTCAGCCTTGTCTGTTCGGTCGGCTGACGAGCGCCTGGCACACAGCAGGAGCTCGTGGCAATGTCAGCACTGGCAGTGGCGCTGACCTGGGCTGGGTCCTGTTCCCAGTGCTTCAGGGGGCACCAGCTCATCAATTCTCACAGCCCCAGTGGAGGCGGGAGGGTTATCCCCACTTTGCAGAGGAGGAAACTGGGGCACGGAGCAGTCAGGTCTCTCCCCACCACTAAGTGGTGCCGGACTGATTCCTGGCTCTGGGATCTTTCCTCTCCCCTCCTGTGCAGAGTCGGGTAGACACCCTGGGCTCTGGGCCTTGCCGGCTCCTGGGTGCCCTGGATCCGGGGCGGGGTGGCCACGGGGCCTGGAGTCCCAGCACCCATCTGTCCACACCCCTGGGAGGCCCCAGTGCTCGTGAACCTTCTTCCTGCCCCATCCTGGCTCCACTGCTGCCGCCTTTGCTCAGCCCTCCCTCCCTCACCCCTGCCCAACCCTCCTGCCTCAGCCCAGTTCACCTTCACCCCTACCCGAGGCCCCTTGGGGTTCCCCAGTCTGGCTCAGGGGCCTCGCCGTCACCCTCTCCGGGCTCCCAGGGCTCACGCGGTTGGCATGTGGCTCCTCACGGGTGTCTGCCCTGCCTCTGGGGCCCCTCGTGGGCCCCTGCTCGGACTGAGGCTGCCGGGGTCCGGGTCAGGGGTGGTCAGAGTCACGAGGGGCGGCAGCCCCGGGGCTGCTTGGAGGAGGCCCTTCCCCGGCCCCCTCTGGTGGTCAGGCAGCCCAGAGCTCTGAACGCATCCACAGAGGGGCCTGCCCGAGGGCACTGTAGGACGATGAGGTCCCCTTGCGCCTCCGCACAAGACACCTGGCGTGGCGGGTGCCCCCCTGCTCCCCTCCTCCACCTTCTCCGGGTGCTGGACGGGCCTCACTCGGTCTGCCTGCCATAAAGCGCACGGCAGGGGTGAGCACCCGACAGTCGCCCCCTGGAGTGGGACGCACCGTTGTCAGCTGCCAGGAAGGTGGCCTCATAGACGTTGTTTTTGATGTAGAGGGATTCGCGGTCAAGGACGGCTGCCGTGGTGATCTGACCGTTGGTGGCATTAATGTGCAGCCAGTTTGCTGGGTCCGACAGTTTGGAGTATCTGAGGAGGGAGGAGGTGAGGAGGTGAGGAGGTGAAGGGGGGAGTGACCCCGAGCCCCCGGCCTGCCCTGGCCACCGGGCCCGCCAGCCTGCACTTGGCAGGACGCGGCCCTCGCGGGGTGCCCGCCTGGACCCCGGGGCTTTCCCTGCCGCCCGGGATGGGGTCCCCCCTCAACAGTGGCTCACGGTCGCCGTGGCGGACGGGTTCCCGATCCTCACAAGGACCCCCGGAGGCAGAGACTCTCATTGTCCCCTCTTTACAGACGGGGAGACTGAGGAACTAAGACGGAGAGGCCAGGGGACCCGCAGCGACCTGGACCAGGACCGACCTGACTCGAGATACTGCTGAACGTGTTGAAAACTTTCCACCTTCTTGGGTGAGCGCCTGTATCACACGGGCCGGGTGATCCCCGCCGTCCCCAGCCCGGAGCTCCTGGTGCCCCTGCCCGGACGCACAAGACGGGTCGGGACCCACCTCACGGCCTGCTGCATGAACCGGTCGGGGTCCACTGCCGAAAACGTGGTCAGTACGGTACCGGTGGGCACACCCTCCTCCAGGCGGATCAGCTTGTGGTTCGAGGGGAAGTAGGGCGCCTCGTTGATGTCCACGACGGAGATGGTCACCCCTGCCGTAGACTGGAAGGACATCTGGATCCCACTGGCCAGGGGCGCCTGGTTGGACACCATCACGGTCAGCATGAAGGCTCTGTTCAGCTCGTAGTCGACTGCCTGGAACAAGGGAGGCCCCAGGGGTGAGCCGGCACAGGCACCCACGGGGCCGGCTCAGAGGGTGGGGGCCGTGGGCTGGTTGGTCTGCACCCGCCGCCCCAGTCTGTGCCTGCGCCTCCCGCCCGCTCTGTGCCCGGGAGGCCGGTCCCTAGGGAGGCCGGCCCCTCGTCTCTGGCTTCCCGTGGAGTTTGCCAGTGGGGGGAGAAAGAGTTTGGGGAAAAACTCTTTGGGGCAGAGAGGGAGGGAGACACAGAATCCAAAGCCGGCTCCAGGCTCCCAGCTGTCAGCACAGAGCCCGACACGGGCTTGAACCCATGAACCATGAGATCATGACCTGAGCCGAAGTCAGACGCTCAACTGACTGAGACACCGAGGTGGCCCCTGGGCTTATTTTTAAAGCCTCTGATGTATATTCCAGGATAAGGTAAATAAACGCGTGTAATAACGTGGTTTAGGAAATAAGATTTTCCGGGTACGAGAAAGGAAAGACGAGCATGAAGTCACTGAAGTTAAGTAAAAATCCTCCAGTGTTAAATTCGAATAAAATGGCCATCGGAGTCCGTGAAGTGAATGGAGCCGGGCAGGGTGGGCTCGTGAAGGGTTGTTCCTCGCTCTGCCCCCTGGAACCCCGAGGAGAAACGGCAGGCAGGCAGCAGCGAGCCCCTCCGCCGTCCGGATGCTGGCTTCTAAGTACCCTTCTCACTGGAGAAATGGCCGACCCAGACGGGAGGCAGGCCGGGCCGCGAGATGAACTGGGGGCGTCCGGTTGGGCCACGGTGCAAGGAAGCACTCGGGAAGGGACCCAGGAACCAGCCAGGGGAGTTCCCACCAGCCAGAACCGATCATGACTGCAGCTGACCACACACACATTTTGTTTATTGCTCTGGTGGGATGATTAGTGGTCTCCAAAGACGTCCAGGTCCTGATGTCTGGAATCTGTGACCATGTCGCCCTCCACGGCACAGGGACTTTGTGGACATGATGAAGTTAGGGGTCTTGCAGTGGGAGATGGCCCAGGACTCCCCAGGGGGCCTGAAATGCCATCCAAGGGTCTTTACAAGGGGAGACAGAGGGACACAGCATCAGCTGTGTGAGCACCGAGGTTCTGGCTCTGAGGAGGCAGGAAGGGCCACAGTGTAGGGATGTGGTTTCTAAACTGGAAAAAGCAAATGGAATCCCCAGGGGGAGCCCAGCCTTGCCGGCTCCTCGGTTCCGGCCCAGTGAAGCTGATTTTGGACATCCGACTACCAGACGTGGGAGAGAATAGCGTGTGTGTTGAGCGCCTCCCCCGGGCCGGATGTGATTTGTTACGGCAGCACCAGAAACTCGGAGGGACCGCGGCCAGCCGCCAGGCTGAGAACGGACGAAGAGAAGTAACGCGTACAGGATTGATCTCGCGTGTCCTGTCGGGCCCCGTCCTGGTTTCGTGTTCCTATTTAGTGGCTTCGGGCAACACGATTTGTTATCTTACAGTTCTGGAGGTCGGAAGTCAAAACTCAGCATCGCCGGGCTGAGGTCAAGGTGTGGGCGGGGCCGCGCCCTCCCGGACACTTGCCTTCTGCAGCCCCCGGAGCCCCCGTGCTCCTGGCCCCTCCTCCCCCTTCCGAGCAGCAACCTGCCCCTTGAGGAGCCGTCTGAGCTCTGCCTCCTCCCCAGGGCTCCTCCGAAGCTCACCTCCTGCCCCCATCTCGCAAAGAGGCTGAGTCCAGGGGGCTCACCTGGACTTCCCAGGGAAGCGTCCTCTCCCAGAGCCCCTAGCTGACTGCTATGCACTGGCAGGTTCCGGGGACTCGGGCCCGGGCATCTCTGGGGGGCCGCTGCTCTGACCACCGCGACCTGCCTTTCACCTAAGTGCACAGCCCTTGCTGCTGAGGGCAAGCTCTTTAGTACTGACTCTCGCAGCCAGGGAACGACTGATTCTTAAAAGCACCGTTTTGTACGAGTGGAGACACGTATCCGGACAAGGGCCACCAGCAGATGATAAGACCAGCGGAGGCGGACCGACGGAGGACTGCACGTTTGCGGGTACGAAGCGTCATGCCGCAGCCCGTGTGCTGGTCATAAGGCGGGGGGGGAAGAGTCAGGTCTACAAGGACGGAAGGGGCTGTCAGCGCCTCGGAGCCTGCGGGCAGGCTTGCTGCCAGAGAGGACATTGCCAGGGCTTCCTGATGGGACTTTCTCCAGCTGCAGTGCAAAGTGCTCGTCCTCCCCACGGGACCAGGCTCCAAATCCCAGGGCACAGGAATTGTGGGAGAAGAGGAGCAAGACAGGTCGTGACGAAGCGATCGGACAATAAATCCTTCGCCACGGGAGGCCGGATCTGTCGGCTATCTCACTGCCAAGGTAAGCCCGTCAGTCAGGTGATGGTGGACGGACGTGGAATCCCAGCAGGGCATGAGAGGTTCGAGATGCTACGCAATTAAAAGGCATGCAGGGACCCCGCTCAGATCCAGGTCTGAAAACCACCAAGAGACAGACACTTTCAGAAGGTTATGTGAGCACAGATTTTGACCGGGCAGCAGATTGAAGCAAAACACGGGTTCGGTCTGCACAAAAATGGTAAAAATTTGCATTGTTGAACGCTGTTGTCCGAGGGCGTGATGGCGCATCCGACATACTTAGGGTGAGAATCACGAAAAGGTCACCGGGAGGAAAACGACAGCCACAAGTGTGGATGGCGGGATACGAACAGGCTCACTGGAGTCCGCGACTTCAGTTTCCCACGGAGTCTAGCGCTTCTGCTTTGAGAGGAATGGGCAAAGGTGTGTCAGTTTTCGCTGCGACCCCACTTGTTGGCATGGCCACCGGGCTGGTCCGACTCCTGGGCCCCTCCCACCAACGGTCCATCTCCAGCAGCTCGTTTGTGAGCATTAGAATCTACACGATTGCATCAAAGCCATCACTTTCTTCTCAGCTACTGTCATGACACAGAGGGGGTATGAAGTAGGACACGGTTATGAATTTTAAGAGCAGTGAATATACATACAAGATAATACACATTATTACGGGTGGGCGGGGTTTGACGAGACCACTCGGGCCGTCGCCCCACGGCAGAGACCGCCTGGGCCTGATGTCCCCATCGCCTCTCCAGGCAGTATCCCCCTGCCTGGCTCCTCCCACCCCGCCTCACCCCCCCCACCACGCCCTCACTTCCCAGACGCCGCCACGTCGTTCGCGGGCAATAGGCCGTGTCACGACTGCCGCCTTCCCCGCCCTCACAGCCCTTCCCCGAGAGGGGCTTCACCTTGTGTCTCAGCACAGAGCCAGCGCAATGGCCTGGGGCAGCAATGTCTGACGCCTTCCCCTCTCTGGTCAGCCTACAATCGCTGCCCATCACTACATGCGATGCTGGTGCTATGACAGGCGTGCCTGCAGTGTGGAGGGCCTGATGTGTCACCCGGGCAGGACCACTGCCCCAGCTGCCAGTGTGGTGGGAGGGCAGCACGCAGGCCCGAACATACCGGGGACTTCTCAGGCCAGTGTCACGAGCCCCCTGTCCCTCCCAGGTGTGGGGCTTGGTTCCTCTGTTCTGATAAAGTCCACCGCCTCCAGCTCCACAGCACACACTGCACCACGCCAGTTCAGGGCTCCTCCTGGCCAAACGGCAGTTGGTGTCCTAGTGCCCCCTCCCCCCCCAGGGCCCCCCCGAGCTGTCTGGGATTTGGGGCGACGCTACCTTGCGTGTGATGATGGTTTTTGTCCGGGCGGTAACGCCACCAGGAAGTAATCTTTCTCCCTGTTTATTGGTTCATGTCCCCGGGGGACACGGAATAACGCTGCGTGTAATGCATTAAGATAGTGTCGTCACCGGTTCGAGTGCGTGAGAACGAGCCTTTCAGAAACACTGTTATGGCCAGTAACCGTCTGTAGGGGAGGGCTTAAATAAAAACACACTTGTAATGGGGAATGATAGGTGAATTTCCCTCCAGCTTCCAGCCACATCAGGGCGCTGTGTGTGCCTCTCGGGAGTCTCGACTTCTCACCGTGGCTGCCTCCCCGGACGTGGCCAAGACCCTTCGCTGAGAGGCGAGGGGCTGGGGGCACCCTGCTGAGGGGGGATTCGCTTCTGGGCGGGAGCTGTCACCTGCAGGGCTGCGGGGCTGGTGGAGGGAGGGGTCAGGGGTCAAGAGCCTGTTCCCGGACCAGAATCTCTTGCCCCCCCTTGGCTACCCCTCGGCCGCCCTGGGAGCCTTACTGCTGCCGAGGGGGGGGGGGACAGAAGAGGCCAATTCTTGGCTTTTCTGCTTCAAAAGCTGAGGTCCAGGTGAGGCAGGAGAAAAGGCCTGTGATTGGTCTGCGCCTGTGGTTTTCTCCTTGGAAGAGATTGTGGTTTCATGGTTGGAGGAGGGACAGGAGGGGGACGTGTGGGGAGAGGCCGGGGGCTCTCGAGGAGGCTGGGGATGGTGACAGATGCCCACCGGGGCTGGGGGCCTGGGAGCAGAGCGGCTGTGCCCCAGCTTGGCTACAGCCTGAGAGATAGCAGGCCCAGTGGGGGGCAGGGCAAGACCTGCCCGAGGGGACGGTGTATTTCCTCAGACTTCAGGGCCGAGGGACAACGCAGCCAGCCTGGGCCAGGGGGCTGAGGGCCAGGCTGGCCACACACATCTCTGCAGTGGCCCAGGGATGCTCTCGTCCCCTACCCGGCACCTGGTCAGCCCCGAAGGCAGAGGAGGTCCCAGGACTCTGGGGGGCACAGGGGCTGGAGACAGCAGGTGGGTGGTGTGACAGAAGGCAGGCACACCTGCGGCAAGAACGTCTCCGTGGCTCCTTCTCACGCCCCCCTGCAGACTGTCAACTCCGCAGGCCGGGCAGTGATGTGTACCCAACACAGGGCCCGATGCCTCCAAGGGACCTGGGGACCCCGGTGGGATTGAGGTGACTTTCCTTGAACACTGGGGGATGGGTGGGGAGGCAGCCAGTCCGTGTCATGACAGCAGCTGTTCCTGTCAGGTGAGCTCTCACTGCCTTCCAGGTGCTGTTCCAGGCGCCGCCCTGCCCTTCTCTGTCCAGGATCTACTGCGGGGTCAGCGACAGCCCTGCGCGTCCGGGGCACAGCGAGGGCGACTGGCCCGTGCCCGCGGTAAGGGAGCCAAGAGCCAGCCGCCTCCCCTGACTGCCCCCCACCGCCCGCGCCCCCTCCTGGCCACCCTCCTCTGCAAGACAACGCCTGAAAGGATGCCGTCTTTACCAAAGAACGCAAAATTAAATTAACCCGAACGTGCTTTCCAACACCCATCTTGCCTTAAAAAGACTTTGAACCGGGAGTCTGGAGGAAAGCCCCGGGTGGGTAGCAACGCAAAGAAGGAAAAACGGAGAAGTGTGGTGCGGGTGACGGATGCCATCTGCACACGCGGTCCGGGCTCCGTGGGGACGGTGCGGCTGCCTGTGCGCCCGGCGTTAAGGGCCGTGAAACTCAGTCTTAGGTACACATGTGGTAGGACTCACGTGTGACTTCTGACGAGCGCGCAGTCCTCTCTCCCGGACCGCGCTGGGGACGCAGGAGTCCCCCCAAGCCCCTCACTCTGCCCCCCCAGTCGTCACACCCCCATCCCTAACACCGTTCTTGACATTTGTCTATAAATCGCGACACCAAATCCTGGATCAACACAGCACGGGGAAGGGAAGGCACAGGCCTCAGCTGTTCAGAAAGGTACATGACAAATCTTCAGACATTAGACAAACAAGTCCCGCCATAACGGACGAGGAAACACTCCTTCGTGGCTGAGCTGGATTTATCTCTGGGATCCAGGGATGGGGTTCACCCATTCCTGGACTGAGGCAGCGATGTGGCCTTCAGGGAGGGGACAGGAGAGTGGTCTCTGGGGGGTGGGGGGGGGTGGCAGGTCAGGCCGCCCAGTCCCTGGAGGTCACACGACCAGGTCCTCGGGAGCCCGCCTCCGGTCCAGCAGGTGGGTCCCAGGGTCGCGGCCCCGGGGCAGAGCTCGCCACGGCTGGCAGGAAGCGAGGAGGGCACCCACCTTGACCACGGTGACCATGCCCTCGTTGGTGACGGGGTCCGTGCGGATGCTGAAGTGCCCCGAGGGGTCCCCGCTGATGATGCGGTAGAAGGCATTCCAGTTTGGCGAGTGGGGCTGGTCTCGGTCCATCACAGTCAGGTTTGCAACCACCACCTCCACCTGGTTTTCGGGTACCTCCCCTGCGTACTGCAGAACACAAGGAGACAGTGTTCTCACCCTGTGGGGCCTCTCGACCAGCCCCGGGGATGCACCCCTGTCGCCCGCAAGTGGGCCCATTTGGCGCGCACGGTGGCTGCTGAGAGCCCTCCGGGCCCCCGCCTCCGGCTGGCCCGGGACTCAGAGCCGTACCCACCACCTTCAGACCAAGGCTCACGGGCACCTGCACACACGTGTGCACCGGCCTCCCTCCTGAACCCCCTTCAGACCTTCCCCGTGTGCCCGGAGGCCCGTGTGACAGCTGGGCACACGAGACACCACAGCACGTGCTCGCAGCGTGCAGGGCTTCCCGGGAGAATCCTGCCCGGGCTCCCCGCCCCCCGCCCCCGGTCCCGGCACCGTGCCGGGCGCTGCCCATGCCGTCTCCTCAGGGTAACCCTGTTCTCACCCCCATTTTACAGATGAAGCAAGAGAGGCTGAGAGACCCTGAGGCACCACAAAGTGGGGTGCAGAGTGCCAGTCCTGAGGACCAGCCCCCTGTCACCGTGGGCCGGGTCACCGGCCGGGGAGGAAGGAATCCAGAGACAGTCTTGGGAGTGGCCCCAGGCAGCCTGGCTCCCAGCCCTCGTCCTCCCGGGCCCCCTCCGTGCCTGCCTAGTTTCAGAAGTGGTGCCCGAGCCTCACAGGACTCCCCGTCACCACCACCTCCCGGCCACGCTGCCCTGTGCCCACCCGGGGGCCGCGGCCCCAAAACGCCCTTTCGCCCCCCAGGACAGGCATGGCGCCGCTTTACGCGGAGGACGGTCTTCCTGTGCACCCAGGGAGCGGCGGGCTTTGGCCTCTGCTCCAGAACGAACTCACCACCCCGAGTGCGTTTTGAAACGCCCGGCGGGGGGTGTCAGGCAGCCGGTCACGCGTCCTCCACCACCTGAGTGCGTTCACGGCTCGGACTCTGCAGCTACCATCTGGGTTCTTTGACACTCTGCGTCCGGGGCTGACGGCAGCCCAAGGGCCAGGCCCCTACACACGGCGCCCCCGTGCGGGGCTGGCTGGCTGGCTCTGAGGGGACCCCCTCCCCCCGGGCGACGGACGCCAGCTGGTGGGTGTGGCATCCGGCCTCCTGTTCTCTCCCTCGGGAGCTTGGGTCATCCTGGGAGAGACTGGGCCCCTCCAGCCCGGCTCTGGGCCTGGATTGCCGCACTGGTTTCTGCCCCGGGCACTCGAAGATTCGGGCCTCAGCCGGTCGTTGGCGAGGGGGTTCTGGGTGCAAAGAACAGAAAATTGGGCCACAGTGCCTTGAACACAGGGGTTGACTTCCCAGAACCGGGAGCCTGAAGGCCGAGGGTGGCCATCGGTGGTTCTGTGGGTCAGTGACGTCGGGGCTGGTGGCTCTGCTCTTTCTGGCTTCCTGGAGGTCAGAACCCTGCAGCTCGGCCAGTGTGTGCTTGGTGTGCGGCTCCGGGGACCTGGGGCCTCAGGCCCAGCGAAGGAGGAACTGGAGCCCCGGCAAGGTCGGCTGCCTCCGGGGCTGCAAAGGGCTCTGTTCAACCCAAGGCAAGAGCACAGACCTTCACCTGCACTTCACAGGCTCAGGAGAGGCTCCTGTGTCAGCCTCCTGGACTTTGGGCATCGACGTCCTGCGGGGAACACCACAACCCAGCCGCTCAGGCGCGCACAAAGGGCCCTCGTCACCTGGTCCTCGCAAGTCTTCAAACCCTGATAGCATCACCTTGTCAGCAAGAACAATTGTGAATTTATCCAAGAAGGATCTCTCCCACCAGGCCCTCAGATGCCGTCCCACGCAGCAGCACGAGATCCTATCGTGGGATTCGGGGGTGCTGGCGCCCGTGACCATTCCGAGCTAATGGCCTGCGGCCGCTCCCGTTCCTCCAGCAGGTCCCGGTCGCCGCTGCCCTCCCGAGCCTGCCTCCACCAGCGGGAGCTGCGGCCCCGGAGGCCGGCCTCCGGGAGGCGCACTGGTGGGCGTTCTTCCCTCCATCCCCAGGGCCCCAGGGACTCAGCCCAGAGCAGGGGGGCCGGCCCCTACCCTCGTGGGACTGTGGGGTGCCACAGTGCACAGCATCAAGGTCCTGGCAAGGGACAGCAGGGCTAGTCAGCCCAGTGGCCAGAGACCCAACGTGGAGGGGGGAGGCGGAGCCCTGCCTGACTGGGGTCCCAGGCACTTGTTGTCGGGGAGGGAGCGGCCCTGCCATCGCTGTGGGTGGGGCGGGGTCCTGGGGCGGAGAGGCCTCAGGTAGAGGACCATGGGGGCAGGGCATTCAGAGGGCACTTTGCCGAGGCTTGGCCACGAGGCCTGGAGAGTGCAAGGGAGGGTTGGGGGGCTGGGGGCCAGGAGGCGGGTCGTCCTGGGGGGGCACAGGGCTGCTTCGGGCAGTGTGTGCGTGCGTGTATGCATGCGGGGTGCCCTGGTCCCTGGAGCTCTCAGGAGGAGCACAGGTGTGGGGTGACGTCCCCCAGTGGTCCTCAGGGAGGTGGGAGCCAGGCAGAGGAAGGAGCGGAAGGCCTGGAGCCGGCACAGTGGCCCCCCTGCATTCGTGGGGGGGCGGTGGGGGGAGGGAGACTCAAGGGCCCCTGCTGGGGCCAGTCTGCTAACCGCACTGAGCCAGCAGGCCTAGGTCCCACCGCCTGGTGTCGCTTGAGCCTCCGGAGACACACCTCCCACTGGTGGACGCTCGCCCGGCCTCCCTGCTGCACCCAGGGCCACGCCCTCTGCCGGATGTCACCGTGTCCCCAGTGCAGGAGGCACTCTTGGAGGCTGTGACCACCCGGGGGCTGCCGACCTGGGCTGAATGAGAACCGAGTTTGTCGTCCACAAAACGGGCATGCCGCCTCCCGCGAGGCTCGGGGATGGAGATCGGGCACGAAGGGCCTGGCACACTGCCCGGCCCGGCTCCGGGCCCTGAGCACAGCTCCCTGGCCGCAGAGGGAGGGCCCAGCTCCCCGGGAGCGGCAAAGAGCACCTACCACACCGGGCGAAGCCACTGCCCGAGGGAGCCCGTCCGGGTGGGCGCAGGCCTGGCTTGGCCTCAAGCAGCCGTGGAAGCTTAAGGGGGTCCCTCGGCCCCTCTGAGCGGGTTTCCTCTACTGAAGACCGGGGCCAGGGACGCCCGCTGCCCACCTCCCAGGCGGCGGGGGGGAGCCGGCGAGCAACGTGTGCCCTCCCCGGAACGTCTAGGAATTCAGAGGTAGGGATGACCCAGAGCATCTGTGGTCCTGGGGCCTCGGCGCCCGGACTCTCGTGAGGGGCTTGGTGGGAATGGAGGCCTGGCAAACGACAGGGCCAAGTTCAGGCCATAGCCCGTCTTGTTAATAAAGTTTGATCGGCACACAGCCACGTCCCTTCATTTACACGTTGCGTGTGGCGGAGTCCACTGATTGTGACCTGGAGCTCCCAGACTTGGAAGTGATGGCTTTATTACGCCCTTTACAGAAAAGATCGCGGACCCCTCTCGAGGCCGCGATGCTCCCCACCTCGGTGGTTCAGAAATGGGCACGTGGCCTCCACCAGCCAACCGGGGCTCACCGAGTTCTGGTGCCGTCTCTGGCCTGGGTGTCGCGCCCACACCCGCCTGAAAGCGTCGGGTGCGGTGGGGCCGCCATCGGCAGCCTGAGGATGCCAAGCCCAGAGGAGGCGTGTCCCGAGGGAGGCTCCCGGCGGCTCGTGGGGCCTGGGTCCAGCCGTGCCTGAAGTCAGTGCTTGGTTTTTGGCCTCTGAGACCCGAGGAGTTTTCCTTTCGGTTAAGTCGCCAGAGTCAGTCGCTTTTTGGCTAAGACTGTTAGGCTGCCTGGCTGTCTGGCGCCTTCCGAATCCGTTTTTCTTTATTTCCTACAAACTTGCTTTCGCAGCTTCCTCTACAGCCACGAGCTGGTCAGGTGGCCTAGGACCTGCCGGTCGCATGCGCCTGCCTGGCTGATTCCGAAGCGAGACGGAGAGGCCCCGTGCGCTGGCCCCTACGGGGATGGCACCCAGTTCAGCGTGGGCACCAGGAGGGGCTGCTCCGGCTGGAGCCTCTGTGCCCGACACGGCAGGCCCTCGGGTCTTGTGACCGCTCATGGCCTCTAGCAGCTTCCCTCTCTGTTTAGGTGACTGGGGTGGCTCCGGGCACTGTCACCTAAGAGCCGGGCTTTGGGTGTGCCCCCGCGGGTCACCACAGCTGGCCCGATGGGCACCTCTGTCTGCCCTGCTCTGCCTCTGTCTCCGGGGTGTGGGGTCCGTCCCAGAGCTTCACGGCACAGGCGAGACCTGTGTGTCCCGGAGCCCGATTCCTCCCAGACTCTGGGTGAAGTTTATTCCAAGAGTCTATTTTAATTCATGCGAGTTTAATAAAGGTTCACAAAGAAGGGCCTTAAGCTGATAAATCTGGCTTAGGATTTTCTTATTAACCTTCCCCTAGCCATAATGAGTTTTTAATTTAATTTTTTCAGGTTTTCGGGCACAGGGAAAGCCTCTCCCATGCCTCATGGGATGCGAAGGCAGATATTTGGGAAAGAAGGGATTTTAAGATCACTGGAACACAGTGTCTCGCCTAGATGGTAATCCAGAATTCAAATGTAGCCCCATCCCCGGGGGCGGGGAGGATTTCATCTAGCACAAACACAGCTCCGAGGCAGAAATCCGCGGGGCTCCCAGGGGAAGGTCACATTAGCATAGAGGAGGATTTGGGTGGGGACAGTGAAGCCCAGCAGGATTCAGAGAGGACGGAGAATGCCAGCCTGTCCACACCCCACAGCATAACCCGTGAGGCTGTGTTTTTGTTTCTGTTCCAATCACTTGGAACCACGGCTGGTCCTAAAAGTCCTAAAAGACGCGTGCGTGGGCCGGAGGACTTGACCCTCCCCCAGCCGCCTCTTGGGATGCAGGACACCCCCTCCTCTCCAGTCCGCACCCCCTGCATTGGTGGGGCATCTAACCGGGAAGGAGGGGTGCCCTCCCTGACCTGGAACTCAGGGACGTGCCACAGTCACGAGCAGAGCCTGGAGAGCCGGCCCCGGGAGTCCCCGTCTGGCCA